CTCAATTAGCAGTCTGCCAAGGCCCTTAGTCTCCTGCTTCATTTCTTGATCCAAAGACAAATTTCCCTACAATATTTTATTCTTCCCTCTGCAATTTTTGCATTCCAGTCACCTATAATTAACAATAAGTGTGAAGTGTGTGTGAAGTGTGTGAAGACACACCCAACTAAAGGTGGTGGCAAATATAGGGCAGCCAGTACCCTGATAAGATCAAACTCTTATACCCAAAAAGGCTCCAATGTAAAGTCCAAAAGCTGAATGTAAAGTCCAAAAGGGGGAAATTTATTTTGAAAAAAGAAAAAAGAAAAGGGTTTCTCCTCCCCAGCTCTAACAGGCTTAAAATAAAAGGTACTTTACAGTTTAGGTTTCAGCAATCTTAAGTGTTGTCATCTCTCTGGGTTTGATCTTGGGTTGAACTCCTTCTCAATGAAACTGGTGCAAGGTCTTTCAGCTTCTGGTGCTCTTGATTTCTTTGTTGTTGATGTTCACTTTAATTAACTGCTTTTGGTAACTAATCTAGCTAAATGGTAACTAAATTGGCTAAATGGTATAAGTTGGCTAAATGGTAAATAAATAGGCTGAATGGTGTAAGAAATGCCCATTCCCTCTGTCTGAGCCTGTTTTTGCCACCAAACAGATGAAGCCAAGCCTGCCTAAGAAAACTAAAAAATCACCAGCTAAAGCAGAGCTTGCTGGGAAGGGGCAAACCAAAAACTAGAAAAATGCAGGGGGTTCCTACTGCGCCTCCCACAAACTAATACAGTGGAACATTCCTATGCTCAAACTGAACTAAAAATGAAGGAAAATGCAGGGGAGAATTTAAACAGTCCAAGCTGGACATCACAATAAGTCTTATTGTAATGTGTGATTAATTTCTTCCTGGGCACAGCTGTTATTGCTGCTGCTGCTGCTCCTCCTCATTATTATTATTACCCCACCTTTCTCCTGATATAGGGACTCAAGGCAGCTAACAATCAATTTAAAACAATAAATATTAAAGACAATACAGGAGCATTACAAAGCCTTAAAAATAAGTTAACAAGTTAAAAACATTACACATTAAAATATTCCAAATATTAAATTGTATTAAATGTATTAAAAACTGTATACAGACCTAGGCATCTGAATTGTACAGCATTTAAAAGTTGGAACATACAATCATAGAATCATAGCATTGGAAGAGACCACAAGGGCCATCCAATCCAATCCTCTGCCATGCAGGAACTCCCAATTAAAGCATCTCCGACAGATGGCCATCCAGCCTCTGCTTAAAGACCTCCAAGGAAGGAGACTCCACTACTCTCCAAGGGAGTGTGTTACACTGTTGAACAGCCCTTACTGTCAGGAAGTTCCTCCTAATGTTGAGGTGGAATCTCTTTTCCTGGAGCTTGCACCCATTGTTACGGGTCCTAGTCTCTGGAGCAGCAGAAAACAAGCTTGTTCCCTCCTCAATATGACATCCCTTCAAATATTTAAAAGTGGCTATCATATCACCTCTCAGCCTTCTCTTCTCCAGGCAAACATTCCCAGCTCCCTAAGTTGTTCCTCACAGGACTTAGTTTCCAGACCCTTCATCATTTTAGTTGCCCTCCTCTGGACACGCTCCAGTTTCTCCACATCCTTTTTGAATTGTGGTGCCCAGAACTGGACACAGTATTCCAGGTGAGGCCTGACCAAAGCAGAATAGAGTGGCACTATTACTTCTCTTGATCTAGACACTACTATTGATGCAGACTAAAATTGCATTGGCCTTTTTAGCTGCAGCATCACACTGTTGACTCATATTCAACTTGTGGCCTACCTGGACTCCTAGATCCCTTTCACACATAGTCTCATTCAGCCAGGTGTCCCCCATCGTATATCTTTGCTTCTCATTTTTCCACCTTAAGTGCAGTACCTTAAATTTCTCCATGTTGAATTTCATTTTGTT